CCCTACATTTTACAGTAAATTCATCTCTTCGAGTAACTAATACTTTGAAGTTGTTAGTCCTAATGCAAAATTGAATTGAAGAAATAGGACTACCATACCTCTAAGTACCAGTGCACTTCAAATTAAGCATTCTAGTTTGTACATGAACATATAAAGGGCAAATCTCCCTTTTTCTTTACTAACCTTCACAAACCTTACCTTTATATGTTGAAGCCAGCACTCAAGAAACAGCAAATTTCAAATTTTCAAAATAACTCTTCTCCGAAAAAAATTTTTTTTACTTAACTCTCAAAACACAAAATTAATAAAGATGAATAATCATGTTTTTCTTCAAACAGCCAGTTTAAAGAATGAGTCAAAAGTACTTTGGAATACTCCAAACTCCTATTTCCCACAAATATTTTAGTATTTTGCTTTTCCGTGTCCCCAGCACTCTCCAACACCTCCACTCCCCAAAAAAATCAAAACCCAACCCCAAAAGCAAGCAGGGGAGCAGGAGAATATGCCCAACAGCTCTTTCACTTCTGCATTTCCCCAGCACATTGTTAGAATCTCATGGGGAATGAGTGGCAGAGCAGGTGTAACCCATAAATCAACCTATAAATCAAGCTCAATCTCTGTCAACTGTTAACATCTTTGCTGGGAACAGTATTCAGTTCCAGACTTGGAACAGCTAACCTATAAGCACGGCCTTTCAAGGAGAAAACCCAACTGTTTCTTGCAGGAGACAACTTTAGAAGAAGCACACACGCTTCTAGGGCAGTCAGAGGTCATCTCTCTGTACTTCCTAATATGCCAGGATGAAGATCTTAACTCAGCATGATCCTCCTCAGGGTATATAGCCACAATTAAAACGTACATCAACATAAAGAGGGAAGGTAGGAGTGGTGGTATGCAAATTCTCAGTCTAAATGACAGTTTATGTATTATGTCTTCTTAATCAAGATATACTGAACAACAAGCTACGGGGAACACCTGGGCAGTCAACGCACATGTGCATTTTCAAATCCCAAGCTGACAGTTTCTTCTCATGCCAGTGGCCTGGGCTCAGCTGTAACAGACTCCTACTGGGCTGCTCTTATCTCAATCCATGGGATTTACATTCTTTCGATTCTCCTCCCCATCCCTCTGGAAGTGGGGAGAGTGAGCGAGCGGCTGCGTGGTTCTGAGTTACCAGCTGGGCTTACACCACAACAGCCAGGTCGCAGGCAGTGAGGAAGGGATGTTCCATTAGGAACAGCCACCATTCCCAGCGTGGCCACCCTACTGCTCTCCTTGCCAAATAACACAGGAGCAACTAACAGGTACCCCAACATCTGTAATGCTGGTAACTCATTCCATTCAGTCAACAGAAGATTTCCTATGAACACGTTTCATGTACATACACAGCCACAGATGAGAAAAGTTGCCCCTTTTACGTGTGATACTCAGCTTCAATCACAATACCACCAAAAAAAAAAAAAAACAAACAAAAGGATTTCATTTTAAAACCACAGAACATCTCTACCTACTAAAACAAGATGCGTGAGGGTGAAAATTAGTTTGGAAACAGCTTCTGCAGTTAGGCGCTATTACTTGAGGACCCAAGCATTTCCAGTGAAGTCAATAAGAATAATAAAGGATAATCAGTAAGAAAGATAAAGAAAACATGATTTCCTTTATCTAAAAAACCCAGAATCTGATTAAGCACATAACTGAACGGGATTGAGACATTTAACTCCATTCAAAATCCTTTTAAAGTCTGACTCTGAAAGAACAGTAAATGATGGATCATGCAATGGCAGATAAGGAGGCTTGAAGTCCTGAAGAGTGGACTTGTGTCTCACTTGGATAAGAAAAATATACATTTCAGAAGGTGTCTGTAAGTACTTCACTGAATTTAGTCTTGAATAAATGTTATGGGTGAATTTCAATGAGGGCTGGCACCTCTCTGAGAATTTCTGAATATTCCAGCATCAGGTTATACTTCTATCTTCTCATTAATACTCTGTTGTTACTCAAGCCTCAGATTCAACTTTAGATTTGGATTTATGTCGTGTCAACCAGTCCCTTTTTGTTTTGAAACCTGAGAATGAAATATGTAATTCATAAATTTAGGGAGAAAAAAAAGACAGAATAGTCACACAAAGACTCAGCTTCCCAGTTTTGCCTCAGCAGAGAGCTGCTGAGATCCACACAAACCATTCTTGTAGGAACAAACCAAAATAATCTGTACCCTTGGCTGCTTGGTTGTGACCCAATAAAAAGAATTACTTGCTTACAGCAAACCTAAACCTTACTTATGAGATGAGGGTTCAGATTTTGACTATTAGAAAAATGTGTCAAAATGGTAGGAGCGCCTGGCCTTCAGTTTGCTCAAAACAAGCAAAAGCACCAGTGTGTCAAGAGCTCAGATACCTCATTTGGAAATGAAAGAAAACAAAGCACCACTGAGAGATGTTTTTAGCGTAAGTCCTCTATACATAAAACACTCTAAAACTACAGCAACTTACTGTGTTCTCAGCTGCGGGGGAGTTTGAAGAACTCCTTGGCAATTCACAATGGAAAGCAATAGGACAAATATCTACATTTTCCAACACTGCAGTTTGCTATAGGAAAACACTGGTTTCCATCTCAGTGATACTTAGCAGGTAGAATTTGTAATAAAGACATCTTACTTACAATCTTACTGTTTACTGAAAAATAGTCCATAAATGTCCATCAGTATCACTGTAACAGGGTATGGGGTGTGGAACACAACATCCCAAACACCAAAAAAAATCCCCGAACAAAGCAGTGGAGGCAGCTTTCACCACCCTACCTGAAGAGCTTCCAGATACCTAGAGGAACATACTGCTCGCGGATCTACACACTCAAAGGAACCTGCCAGTTGCTTTTTATAATTGCAGAGTGCTTTTATGGGTAACTTAATACACACTGAACAGATGAGATACAAATAGCAGCAGGCATGTTACAGTAGCTCAATTTAATTTTCTTTTCCAGACTTCACAAACCATCTCCAGTTACATAGTTCAGCTTGAACACTGACATGACTGGGATGGAGCAGGGTCGGATATCTTGGGCAACTCCCTTCAAACACCATTTTACTTTCAGCATCTTTGGAAGGAACACTGACTCCTCTCAGAACATCTATTGTATTCATCTAGTGAACAGCTAAGCTATGAATAGATGACTAAAACAAACAAGGACAAAATATGCACAGTGAATAGAACCACTTTGCCAAAGTGTGTTCTTTCAATGCCCATATGCTGTTTCATGCTTTTGCTCCTTACTCCTCAGTAAAACCTCCAAGGCCATCCCACTGTCATGCTGCAAACCCTCCCCGCAGTGCTCTGCGCTGATGCTTATAGCCCTCCTAAAAGTGAGGAGGGGTTATGTGAAAAGCAGGTTTCTACTTGCAACCATTCATTTATACAAAAGCCATTTGTCTTCCGTGAGCATTCCCAAGGAAACATGGCACCAAAATGCAAAGTGTATTAGCTAAGGAATTATCTGTGACACTTGAAAACTGTACAGCTGTCTTGTAAAGAACAGTTAATTCAACACCACTGCATCTGGAATGCAGGGCTAACTGGCTGACAGAAGGTGCATAGAGATATTTTCATGCAAATTCATTAAATACTAATATATATATATGTCTATATCATCCAAAAGCAAAATGAGAGAAGATCAATCTCTTTTTTGAGAATTTCTCTGTCTCAACCAGGATGATTTACTCTGAATCCCTCGCCACCACTTTCTCTCCTCACATTCTTTCTGAAGCGATTAGATTTGAAATACATTGCACTCCAGTGTAAGATAGTTGAGTTGACAGTCAGACACATTAGGACATTAAAGTTTGAACTTTCATGTTGGGGGCAAGACTGTGAAGTTTCTTTTTCAGAGGCCTAAACCATCCTCTTGTGATTTTTCCATCAGCAGAGATGCTGTATAAGATGCACAGCATATGCCAGACAAGCCAACTTCAAGTCCGACCCATGTCAGTTAGGGATTTTTTTAAAGGCTTTCCTTTCATCTAGAAGACACCCTCGTTATCTAATACAGTCGACTTTGGACTAAACCATCACCTTCTACCTGAAGGTAGTCTCTAGACTCATGTAGTTCCTAGAAAATTAAAAAAAATATTTCTTCCAAAAAAGCTGAAACCATGTTTCCAACTTCAATTCCACCCTCCCACAGACGCTCTGAAGTTTGTAAAGTGAAGGTAAAGTTCTCAGTTTTGCCAGGATTTTGTTCCACAACATTCAGCGGTGAGCTCACTATGTACAATTATAAACTCATCTCTATTTCACTCCAAAAAGGTACTAAATCCTAATGCTAATCTAAGATTATCTGCAGATCTAAGAACGTACCTGAAACAGACAGAAAGTCTGCCCAGTGACATTTATAACATTATTTGCTTGTTGTTGCTGTGCTACAGCTATAGCATTTGTTCTGTGTGAGCAATATAAAATATAGCCTGCAAATGCTGGGAAAACATTCAATACACGCATATAACAGAAACAAGATGAAAACTTACAATGCAAAACCAATGCAAACATGGGGGTTGTTTTAAAGCACAGGTTTGTGCTGCTGGACCCAACGAGGTCACCACAAACCCCTGGCAGATACAGCCAGCCTGCTGTGCATTCTGCAGTGCATCAGTAAGAAAACATTGGGCTGGAGCTGCATGGGAAGGTCACAGGCTCCAATGCTTCGTCGCTATTGCCTACAGCAAAATCACTTGGCAGAATGATTCAACACAAAAAAAAAAAAACAAAAAAACAAAAAAAAACAACCAACCAAAAAAAACCACACCCACCCAACTAAGAAAATCCATCAAGTTATGCATGAAAAAAGAGATTATGGCATCAGAATGAAGGTCACTGCAAATATGCTGACCAGGAAGTCACTTCAAAGTTAATTGCAGAAAACATGCCTTGAACCTGCTGCTTGAAAATTATGTATTTTCTACTTTTATCACATATGAACTTTTTAATGCTTACACTCCATAATTCAGGCTGAAAGGGCAGAGAGAGAGGTGACAAGTCCTACAAGCATGTCTCATCTGGCAAAGAAACGAGCCCCTCTGTACAGTTAAAAATTACTGCCATTTCATCCCGGGCATACATTTACACAGATCTAAAAACAAAGGTAGAAAACTTAGGTAGCAATTAAGCCATGAGAATATGGCCAGGCACAATAAAAGGTTACTGAAATAAATAACTATAATACTACTACACTACAGACACACAACACGTAGTATCTTAAAACAAAACAGTAATGTCTCAGTTTCTATTTTCCATACCAATAAGGACCACCAATGCATGGGACCCAACGCCTATGACTTTAATTGTATCTTATGTCCTCTTACAAGGCAAGGGTTTGATAGAATGTTAGAACAGAATAGCAACAATTGGAAAAGGCATTATAATGGCAAAATCAAACTAATAGACTGGCTGTGCTGTGCAGCAGAGGGAATGTGCAGCCCAGAGTAACCCAAAGTAAGGTTAGAGGCAGTCTGAAGAATAAGGTGGTTATTGTACTTTCAGTAGCAAGCAATTGCTTGCTTGATGCAAACACTAGCAAGCAATTCTGACCCCTTTACACGCTACTGGCACCTCCCGTGGTTGCCACCACAATGCTGAGCCCAAGGCAGGAAAAGAGAATTATTTTTTTAAAATACAAGCATCAGCAAACACATTTTTACACTACATTGGCCCTCAATTTAAAACACTGAAAATAGTGTTTACATTTCTGGGGCATAAACCCACACTTCCATCAAAAATAAAGTAAATTTCTCACTGGCAAGTTGAAATACATGACAGCCTTCAGGGGCACCATGCCACTGATCCCCTCCATCGGAGAAGGTCAGGACCACCTCTGGCTCTACTGAGAGCCCCCAAGCTCATCTAACACTGGGAAGACAACAGTCTAATTCAGCCTCTCGGTTTTAGTCTAGGCTCCATTTCTACCCCATATTTCAGTCTAGTAAAACCCAACACTAGCACTAGCTGCTGCATGACCAACCCTTAACCCTTCATGGAAAGTGATTTTAAAGTCTTCTCAGCTGTACGTCGTCACCACCCCAACTAACAGAGCAGACCTCATGGGGTCTGGTGATGGCTCAGGACCCACACCCTGAATCCCTGCCCCTCCACAGCAGCAGCAGCTTCCCTGACCCCCAGGCTGCAACTCACATGGGTCATAGTGGGGGGTTCTTTGCTGTTGACAGCTCTCCTGCAGATGCAGCTCCTCTAGAGAAGCTGCTGAGCCCATGCCAGAGGTTCCTTCTGGGACAGAGCATCTCCCCACTGCTCCTCTTGCACCCTCACTAAGAGGTCCACCCCCTGCTCCTCCTCTCTGTCTGACAATTTATGCAGCTCATAGCATCCACAGGGCTTTCTCCCTCTTCACAGGGAGGCGGTTAACCCTTTCCTTGGAACAACAGCAATGCCAGCTTTTCCATCTAAGGAATCTTGGTGTCTTTGCTCCCACTGCTACTGGAGTTCAGCTGAAAAATGCAGTGAATACACACTTTGTGCCTGTGCCTGATGTTGTCTGTTTCAGCTTCCCCTGCTCGACAGTTCTGTTTCAAAAATACCCCTTACAAGTAATAAAGTGACTTTCAACAGCTTCTTCACCATTACTTCTTTATGATAAGCATGGTTTTCCATCTCTAAAGTTGCAAGTATAAGACTGGTTTTTACAAAGTTCTAATAACTTACCAGATAATCCTCAGCTATGTAAAGGTTATTGCCATAGAAAACGAGTTGCTCAGGCTTTCATCAGCATTTAGAAAAAATGACTAATTTAGTCTGCAAATTGAAATATAACATCTAATTAGGAATCCTCTGATGAATCATTATTTTTTGCCATCTTGGATATTGCTTTGATAAATGAGGTTTAGGAGTGTTGCAAAGTCTGAATTACCAGTATTCCAGATGGCTAAGAGTAAGTGTGGGTTGAAAGCTATACTCCAGGAAGAGATAAAACTACCATAAATCAGGGTTGCAGCCACAGAACCCCAGACTGGTTTGTGTTGGAAAGGACCTTAAAGCCCATCCAGTTCCAAACCCCTGCCACGGGCAGGGACACCTTCCACTAGAGCAGGTTGCCCCAAGCCTCGTCCAACTTGGCCTTGAACACTGCCAGGGATGGGGCAGCCGCCTGTGCCCTCTGTGCAACCTGTGCCACTGTCTCACCACTCTCACAGGGAAGAACTTCTGCCTAAGATCTCATCTCAATCTCCCCTCTGGCAGGTTAAAGCCATTCCCCCTTGTCCTGCCCCTACAGGCCCTTGTCCAAAGCCCTTCTCCAGGTTTCCTGTCAGCCCCCTTTATCCACTGGGAAAGATCCAGCTTTATCAAGCTACAAATGTCAGCTTGCAACAGGTTACACAAAAATGGGATAAAGCTGTGTCTTTATCCCTCTTCAGATGTGTCCTCCTGCTTTCAAGAAAGTGATGGCATGTCTCATTTCCAGCAGGGACATCCTTCTGTGTCCTGTGATACTGACTTCAAGTTTTAAACACAGACTCCCAAGTAATTTGCATCCTCCCTCTCCCACCAGGTTAGCAGCAGTACAGCCTGTTAGCACAGCCATCTACAAGAGCACCAACTTCCTGGCATCCCAGTCATCAGTGGTGGGAAAAGACAGATACTGAACAATACAAACTAGAGCTATAAAAATTAAAAGTGCAGATCAACCCATCATCTGGCACATGCAAGTGTTTGGGTGTCTGATCTCTACGTCCAGTGTGAACAATTGGTGGACAGCAAAATTGGTAACAGTTTTGACCTTGAGCAGTGTTTGCTGACTGCGGGATTTCACAGAACCCTATTAGTACTAGCCTGATCCAATGAACCTCTTGCAGAAGGCAAATGGTCTCAAGTACATTTCAAAATCAACCAGTTATTATTATGGGAAGACTATTGGTCATAACAAGCAGTTGGATAAGAGGAATACAAATTAATTTTGGGGCCACACTTTTGGAGACTAAGAAATGGATCCATTCAATGTATCTCCTATTCAGAGGTCAGGTCAAAGAAATAAAAGCAACGTTATCTGAAGCTAATCTTAGCAAATTTTAGTGCAGCTTTCTTCTGAGGATTACCCTCTTCCCATCTTGAGTGTGCTGACTGCATCTTTTGGTGATGCACAAGGGTCAAACCACACAGCTCACTCTCTTCTTTTGTAACAACCAAATGGAAGGATGTACCTGGGACAATCTTTGACAAACCAGCCTTTTTAACATAATCTATCCTGAAAAGAACCTCCTGTAACTCTTGGTTTCACTTAACCAAGCAGAGCAGCATATAACTACAGCTGCCAAAGCCTTTCGCAAATCTCATTTCTCTGCAGTCAGTGATTTGTATCTTACAGACTCAGGAGTTTTTTCAAGCATTCACAGTACAGCTCATGTAGACAAATACATTTATCATCTGGGGGTGAGAAAGAGGGACAGGGTATTCTGTTCAGTGTAAAGATTATTTTAGATTGACTTCTTTAGCCTAACCTCACCTGAAAATGCAGCAAAACCATTTCCATTGTTCCTCTCTCTGGGGATTACCACACTTCGCAGAGTTCCAAAATACAGGTATAAAGCTCCTCTAAACATTGCTAAGTTCTCCCTTTTATATCTTCATCTAATTTCTTACACATACAAACAGAGGGAATCTGTACTGGAAATCTGAATCCAGCATCCTCCACCATATAAGTAAGTATTTTGGCTGTAACCTAAAAGTGAGTCCTTTTGTGGGAAACTTGATCAAACCCCATGTACGTGGCAAGACTAGAGCAAAGATTTTTTTTTCCCTGCTCATTCTTCAACAGTTTCATGTATTGTTGGCTGATGGAGATTAAATCAGCAACAAAGATTACTGAAAACACTTTATGCTGCTGCAGTATAAGCAACAGGATCCAATTGTGGAACTGCAAGCTTACACATCAACCTGCCACAGGCTTGTGCAATCCAGAGCTCAGACATCTCAACTTCTACAACACACCACACATTCAAGAGTACTGACACCTCATTCACATACATTTTTAAACCTTCAAGCTACAAAATTCCAGTGCAAAAGAAGGAAGTTTACTCACACAGGTTACTTTCCGGTAAATTTGAGCAGCATTCTGGCATTCTGAGTAAGGGTATTCTGAGGTAGCCATTTCCAACATGCACATTCCAAAAGCATAGACATCCACAGATTCATCGTAGTGTTCCTCATACATTTCCGGGGCCATGAATTCTGGTGTACCTACACAGACATGTGCAAAAAGAATGTAAATTACTTGTAAGTTCTAAATAGCTTTAACCACAACCTTTTCCACCTATAAGAAGTGTGCCCATTATAGCTGTGTACAGGTGCACATGAAATTACTTCAAAAGGGGAAGTAAGCATTGTCCAGAGAAGAAACCCAAAGTCAACACACACACTTACAGACCCATGACTCGCTGGCCATGGGTATGTAGTAGTTTGGGTTGGAAGGAACCTTCAGAGCTCATCTATGCAATAAGCAGGAACATCTTGAATAATACAATGGGGAAGAGGAGAGAAGAGAAATACAAAAAAGAAAGGGAGGGAGAGGGGAGGAAAGTATCAACATTTCAAAACCAGAACAGGAGAAAGAGGTGTGCCACACTGCCTGACCATAGTACAAGCCATGAAACGGTTTCTTTTCTGGGTAGAGAGGGAAAATACAGGAGAGTAGAAATGAGAACCTTCACTCTTGGTTTTACCAATGCAAATTCGCATATTTTTTCCCTCCAGAGATACATAGCAACCACCCAGCAGATAGACAGCTCTTTGGAAGCAAGTAGTATCACAAATCACCTACAAAGTCACATGCAAAACAGTAAACCTAATTCTGTCACTAGTTTAGTGGGACAAATCAATGAGGCTACTCATAGGACATGGTCCTACTCAACAGGGATTAGGGTGTCAAGTCTGACGCAACTGGATAAATATTAAGTGAAGCACTGTACTTCCTGCTTCATAACTTGGAGCACTGTGTACAATTCTGGTGTTGCCAAACATGGAACTCTTGGAGCAGGTCCAGAGGAGGCCACAAGGTTGATCAGGGGCTGGAGCATCTCCCATACAAAGACAAGCTGAGAACGTTGGGGCTGTTCAGCCTGAGGAAGAGAAGCTGCGTGGAAACCTCAGAGCAGCTTCCAGTGTCTGAAGGGGCTACAAGGATGCTGGAGAGGGACTCTTCATTAGGGACTGGAGTAATAGGACAAGGGGTGATGGGTTTAAACTGAAACAGGGGAGATTTAGGTTTGATATAAGGAAGAAATTCTTCCCTGTGAGGGTGCTGAGGCACTGGCACAGGGTACCCAGAGAAGCTGTGGCTGCCCCATCCCTGGCAGTGTTCAAGGCCAGGTTGGACACAGGGGCTTGGAGCAACCTGCTCTAGTGGAAGGTGTCCCTGCCCGTGGCAGGGAGTTGGAGCTGGATGATCTTAAGGTCCTTTCCAACCCAAGCCAGTCTGTGATTCTGTGATTCTATAATGGGAAGTTGCAGCTGTATGACAAGCAGAAACTTAAAACGCCTGACACATGTGCACAGCAAACTACTCTGAAAAGTGTGGTCTTATAAAGCAAACGGGAAAAAATAACCACTTGGGTAATTTATTCCAGGAACTGCATCTTGTAATGTAATTTATGCTTAGGAGTCAAGACTAATATATTTCCTTTTTACATTTAGAAAAGATGAAGGAAGAGAGATCAATGCTTGTATGTTGAGGGGGAGGACCAGCAAGCCATGAGCACTGGGATGCCAAAAGGAGCGTCAGAGATCTCAGACCACATGAAAGACCCAGACAAACCCTTCCTGCCCAGCCCAGCAGCAGCCCCCAGGACCCAAACTGCTCCCATCACCCTGCAGCAGCCTGGGGCCCTTCCTTTTTTGTTATAACATCTCTTCATCAGCAGATAAAGCACAACTGTAATTAAAGTAACATATACCAGGAGAAAATAGTTCTCGTATATGTCTGGGGACTTGATGTAAGGTTTTTTTCAATGTCAACATAAACGGTGTCTCTCAGAATCAGGCTATGTCAGTAAAAACTCTGCTTTTGCACGTTTTCTTGGCCTAACTCACAAAATAGCACAAACATTCCTATAAAATTAATTTTACAAAATTTGGGATCGGTCTATCTCATTGTTTATGTTCCTCCCACCTCCAAGATACTCGTGCCTTCAGATTTTGTAAATCAGCAGGACCCATGAGGTGAAGCCCAGCTTACTGCCTGCTCTTTAGGGTTTTTGTGACAGCAGTGGTGGCTGCTGCTCTGCAATGATTAACAACTGTCACAGAGAGAGGGGTATGGAGCTGCTACCTCAGTTTAGAAGGAACGAGACTAAGAGGCAGGAGTGAATCTCATGAATTAGGGAGCATCTAAAGCAAATCTGAAAGTGCCAGCCATTTTCCCCCATTCCTTAGGGGTGGGAAGGAATATACACAAGTACTTGTCAACAAAACAGACCACCTAAATGTAAAGTTGCTCAGTGTCTGTTCAGCTCCTCTTGGCAGAAGGAGTTTTGCCCTGGCTCGGCTCCCTGCAGAGATACACTGCAAGGTCAGATGAGTATCAATGATGGCACGAATGCAGCAAGGGAAAAACTGGACCTCAGCCATGCTGACTTCATTCCATTTAAGCCAATGTAAAATCACAGCTACTAATATTTCTTTAAAGCTGCTACACCTACAGAAGGGGCAGAATCACTCATGCGACCCATGTTTTCAAGCCCTCCTACTTCTTTACTCGGAGCAGCCCTGCTCATGAAAAAGATAAGCTTAGTTATATTGCCAAAGCAAATGCAGACACCTTGCCAGGATCCTGCAGCCCTTTTCAGTATTGAGCTTCTTTTAGACATGAGCGTGCTTTGGTGGTGTTGTGGTAACAACTAATTTTACAAAAGCTTCTATTGGTACTACTGATACTATTCCATTATGTCCTGTGGATAATTGTTCTACTGTAAAAAAGTACGTGAATAAATACTGCCCCTCAACCACAAATTATTAGAAGTTAAAAACTAGAGATCCACCAATTACTGAAAGTTAAATTTAACAGCTACAAACCAACATCATTTCACTATAAAATCCACAAGGCTAAGCACTCCTACAGCTGCCAAGCACATACCCAAGATTTCTATCATTCCGACTTCCAATGGCACTGGGCTCACTAAACATTAAGGTTTATACTTTAGTACAAATAATGGTAAAGAATTATAATCTCTGAAAATTTGAGATGCTAAAATAATTATTTAAGCAGCTACTGCTTGAAAGATAGGGTGCTATTTTCATATACAGTAAGGGAACAGTGGCTGTCACTATCAGTTTGCTAACTCTAATTACCTAGAATCTAATTTCCACTTATATTGTAAGTTCAAATATGACTACATGTGTGATAACTTTCCCTGCTTTCAGCATCCTCTCTGAAGAATTTGCAGCTTCCTAGATCATCATCTACAGATCTAAACAAAGGGAATGTGCTATGGAAGTTTGGGTAAAAAAAAAAAAAAGACAAAACCAACAGGGAATATTTGAGAATTCAGGATGTTACATTGACACAGAAAGCGCTATGTGTAACTTCTCCAAGGAAGCGATGCCCTTGGACAGTCATTCAGGAAACATCCTCCCAGTTCAAGCAAACCCAAGTTCTAACACTCCTCACATGGGCACCTCCTGAGGGCACCACCTATTGCACATCCTAGTGGAAATCTCTTTTAATTTTGTACCTGCTGATCTGATGTTGTTTCAGCAGAACTCTGCCAGGATGGCACTGAGGCAGGGACAAGCTCTGCAGTTGCCTGCAGCCAGTTCTGCTGATGCCCCAGTAAACGGGATAAGGTGTTCCAGCCAGACCAGCTCCCCTGCAGCCACTCTGCAAAGGAGAAGCCTGGCTCTGCAGTAGAATACATGGATACCAAGTAATATTTCAATTTAAAAAAACAAACAACAACAACAACAAAATAGAAGTGTTTTACCATTGTGACACAGAAGGAAAAGAGTAAATCATGGTCATGATGCCGTTTCCTACTGACTTAGATTTTTAGTGGTATAAAGTGGATAGTCACAAAAACACTTTCATCCCTTCTACTAACTTACACGTGAAAAACACGCTAGTGCAAAACATGAAAGAAAGGTATTAAAAGGACAACCACCACACCAAGAGCAGGAAGCCAAGGAGAACAGGAGAATTACCTATTACACTTTTGGCAAATGAAGCTCTCTTGAGAGTTGCCAGACCCAAGTCTCCTATTTTCACAGATCCAGTTGGCCCAGTAATAAAAATATTGTCACATTTTAAGTCTCTGTGAATGATTGGTGGAGTTCTTGTGTGCAAGAAGAGAAGACCCTTCAGGATTTGCCGGCACCAACTACGCAGGACTTTTGGTTTCATCACTTTAAATCTTTTCAGATACCTAGAGCACAAACATACACAGAAGTGAGCATAAAGAAAATGCAGCGTTATTAGAGATTCTAGGGGCTTTAACAGCTGAAACTCCATTCCAGATAAAAGCCCCTTATTAGATGCCGTAATAGCAGCTCAGAAATATCACAAAATTGAAAGAAATAGATCTTCTCAATGGAGGAATTAAAGCATTCATTTTCAGGGAGGAAGATAATAAGCATTTCTGGTGCAAATACAACCAAATATTTGCAAGTCTAATAAGTACAGCAATTCACTTCACACAGAGAACAGCTTTACAATTTGTTTCCTATATTTAAATCAGAAGAATACTGAAGTTTAATTTTAACCACAAGGTTTTGACCTCTGGACCATGCACCTGCATTTTTTCCATTTACCTAAAATGCTGATTGGAAGGCTATATTTCGGAAAGCTGTAGAACCTGCTAATGCACTGGTTAGAGTAGCACACCGGATATATGCCGTGACAAATCCTGCTCCCATTGGGGACGAAAATCTGTTCCAGAATTTATGCCAACTGTTTTATATCACCTTAACAGGACTGTCAGTACCACAAGCTATTAATTAATATGGTTTAGTAAATAACCTAAAGCACCTTCTGCTTCCAAAAGAGGTTCTACCATTCAAGTGCTATTCTATCCAAATTTTCTAACAAAACATGCAAATACAAGCACAACAGCAAGCACAAAAATACACCCTGACAAATTAAAGCATCACAGGCGGAAGATGAAGCACGCCAGAGAACAGCTTCTAGCTGCATAACTGAGACAGGTTGGGAAAGAGACATGGAGACCAAAATTCTTCCCGTCAAATCAATGCAGTTCAAACGCAGGGACAAATGACAGACACTAGAGAACAGCTCCATTTATTTTTTCTTTTTTTTTCTTCTATCTAGAGATGCCTCTTTCAGAATATGAAAGTAGGATTTTTCTAAAAATTCCCATTGCTATTCTTAGCCTCCTCACCAGGAGCGCAGGACTTACGTCTTCAGTGTTCCAGAGGTCATCAATTCCGTAACCAACACGATGCACCTTTTGCCTTTTACACAGGATTCCCAGAAGTCATAAAATCTCACAATGTTTGGATGCTGTAGACCTTTCAACATTTCTGCTTCCTCTTTAAATCTCTGCCTCTCTACTTTTGTGAGTTTTCTGTCCTATAATCCAAAACAAGACATTATTAGTAGCAAACAGACAAAAATAAAGGCACTGCATTGCTAGGGTGTTAAGAATTTTAGATTTGGTTTATGCTTTTATGTAAGAGATGAGCAGCGTGTATGAACCAGGGCACCCGCCTTAAATCCAGTTTCAAGCTGACAAAGACTTGCCTCTGAACAAAGAGACATCTGTGCTACATGACAGCATTAGTATTTCAGGCAACATAAACACACCCATGGCTCGATGGATCCACACAGAGCTATTTACTTCTTGTTTTGGTTTTGTGAGGCTCATTATCCAAGAAGTTAACACACAGGATTACATTCCAGGTAGGAATGTCCTTTCTACTGTGATGGCTCACTACCCTCCACAATGGCTCCTGGGAAGCTGCGGCAGTGACCACAGGTCAGGTCCCCAGAAACCACAACAGGCTGCACAGCCCATCCCATTTCCAAATTAAAACACCACCCTTCTCCAAATAAACAAGCACATACATTTCTCTATTTGTTTGCTGTTCTGCCCAATTGTACAGACTTCGCTCTAAGGCCAACAAAGGAAGGATTTAAGACTGTGTTGCAGCCAGTTGCTGCACACGGGATGCATGGAAATACTTAGAAATTAGAGACTGGAAATGTGAGGAATGTCATGTTCTACTGCTCTGGTTTTTCTAGAGAAAAGGATGACCATTTACCATAAATTCCAGGCTGCAAAGTGACCCTGTGAGGAGCACACAGAGCCCATCTCCTCCTCCCCACGGGTCAGCAGAAGGCTGCTGGGCTGCATGGACCTCGTGAGCAGCACGAGACCCCTACCCCAAGCAGGTCAGATGTACACTCTAGCCTCTTTAGATGATGTAAAAGCAAAACAGGAGCATCACCAAAACCCACACCATCACTGCCTGGTTTGTCCATCCTGGACGGTTGGTTAGGTTGGGAGCACTTCCCTCTAACTGACCTAGAAATGAAGCTTTTTCATTCTTTAAAAGGCACAATTGTGTAACTGTTCTTACTTACAGAAGCAAAGGCTCACAAATCACTAAGATTAATTAGCTCGGATTTTAACCTCAGACGTTTTCCTTTTCTCTGTTCACTCAGGCATGCTTATAAAAGTACATACACAGTGATTTAAACTGGCACCCAGCTGATTTTTTATCAACATGTAGAGAGACCAGGCCACTGTCATTTTGAGACCCTGTCCTCATCCGCAGTCACAAAGAACTTGGTACAGGAATGACAATTTCCATGGCCACAGACAAGTTTTACACAGAGACTTCACAGAAGGTTGCAATGAGGATGCTCTGGCTTTTCTTGGAAGACAGAAAACCTGCTTCCCCAGTGGTGTGCACGCATGGAAGCAGCAATTCCATTTTCCACCGTGGCTGCTGAAGAGGTTCTGAGAGTTTTCTGTACATTCTATGGAGAAGAATGAGAGCAAACATTGCCCTGAGCAACAGCAGCCATCCAGCCTGGCACAGGGGGTGTCCCATGGGGACTGATGCCTGCGTCCCCAGAAGCACGCTGCACCCTTCAGCACTATCAGAGATGGGCAGGCAGTGGCATGGCAGACCCCAACAGCTGAGAGCAAGGCAGGATTTCTGTTGCTCTGTGGCAACTGCAGTTTTTCTAAGTAAAAACCAAACAAACGAAAATAAAAACCCACAACAAAAGCAGGCTAAGAAGCATCACTTCTTCCCCTGCTACTGAGTTTCCTCTGAATTTAAACCCTGTAGAATAAATCAGGCATACTACTACTAAGGAGGAAAAGGATCAAGCCCGTTTGTGAGACAGGAAGAACAGCGTGGGCCAGCAGAGAAAGGAAAAGGCATCAATGTGGATCCAGCAGTTTTTAAAAACACCTCTAATTCCCACACCTGGACCCTCTTTTTCAGATTTCTGAGCACTGTGAGAAATGTTCCACTGCTTCTTTAGGGGTCACTTTTAAAAATCTCCTTCAGACATTGCAGACAACCACATTCGGTATATTCTACAGATTACAAGCACTGGACGTTTTGGGCTGCTGTCTGAATTTAAAGTACTAAGATGGCAAGCTGGACACCAGTGATTCTGGAAGACTAATGTGTGTTTTATCTAGAATTATGGTTGAAAGAATCTGGAATTGTTTTTCATCATTATGATAACTGAGTATCTTTCTCAGGAGAAAGGCTGGCTCCAATACTACCATTGGAGAGGGGAGGCAGGGGCAGGTAGGATGTGCAGGCAGGGCTTGGGGCCCTCACATGTTCCCCATCTCAGGAGGGGTCTCAGTACTGTAAGGGCTCTAACAACCTTTTCTAAATTCCTCCAGGCTGAGACTGATGCATGAGTCGTTGGCCAAAGCACAAGGTCTTTCTGAAAGGGCTTAACAGTTGAAGGTTTCTACTCTGAAGCAGCAAAACCACCCACTTAACTGCATGACTCACTCGGGGTTTAATCCAAACCCAAGAAAACCTTCACTAGGGCCACAGACATTTACTCCCCACCATATAATCCACACAAGTGAAGTGTCCTTACGCTGAATATAAGGGTAGAAGCAACAATAGGACATGAAATTTTAAGATAGTGAACAGGAATCTGGAAATATCACACCAAAACAAGCTAATCATAGAATCCACGACTGGCTTGGGTTGGAAGGAACCTTAAAGCTCATCCAGTTCCAACACCCACCACAGGCAGGGACACCGTCCACTAGAGCAGGTTGCTCCAAGCCCCTGTGTCCAACCTGCCCTTGAACACTGCCAGGGATGGGGCAGCCAAAGCATCTCCGGGCACCCTGTGCCAGTGTCCCACCACCCTCACAGGGAAGAACTTCCTCCTAATGTCTCATCAAAATCTACCCTGCACTAATGCACTCGTCCATTTAACTGGATTTAAGGCATCACTTTGCATAACCCAAATTTATCAGAATCTGGAGGAATGATGTTTACAACACTGTACAGCTGAACAAGTACAACCGCTGAGCATCATGCTCATCACGCTGAGCTGACAAACAAGCCATTGCTCAGTCTGCCCCACTGCATTTATGGCATTACTGCTATTCTGAGCTTCCTCAAGACACAAGACCTGAACCTTCTCACTGTGATCTGGGAGATATGAAGTTCGCAGATACCTACATGCTTCCTCTCATTTTAAGACACTCACACTTC